TGGACCAGGTCCCCAGGCCCTGCTCTGGGAGTCGAGGACCCCAAGACAAGCAGGACAGCCCCAGGCCCGTCTCCAGAGTATACACAACTGTGCTAGGGGAAGGGTGAGTCCCAGGCTGCCATCTGGGGTGGGCCCTGGAATAAGAGGGCTCCAGTCAGACTGGGCATTCTGCAAGGCCTTCCCCAGTCTCGTCCTTCCTGGCACCCTCTCTCCCTTGACTGCAAAGCACAAAGCTCAGAGGACTCCCTGGGTAAATGCTTATCAAAGTATGAATTTTTGCAACTTTCGGTGAGAACATAATTGTTTCAGAATAAAAAGAATTTTTTAAACGGGGATGAGAAGGGCATTCCAGGCATGTATAACAGCATATGTAAAAGCTGAGTAGGGGCAGTGGTGTCCCCACCAGCTCGCAAGAACCAGTTGTTAGCGATTTTCAGGAATTAGGTCAACTGGTTGTTAAACACAGCCACCGTTAAAAATTAAATTATATACATTTACAATGGAATAGGTTAAATTAAGGACAAAGGCAGTTTTTTAAAAGTATGTGGCTTCAGGGATGAGCAAGGTAAACAAAAGTAGCCCCTGCCAGGTGGGTTTCCCATCGGGCTTAACAAACAGCCTGGCCTCACTGCCGCCGCAGGCCGCTAGGCAACTCGCTGGGCCTCTCTCTCTGGTCTTTAAATAAGTTTCTGGCCTACTCCGCAGGGTTGTTGTGGGAAGTAAGTGACACCCGTGGGAGTACCCAGTAAAATGCCTCGCCAAGCGGCCTTGACAAATGTTAGTTCCATTTCACTCTAGCAAGTTCCTTGCCAGTTTGTCCTCCTGGAGCCTCTGGGTCAGCTGGCCTCCCTGGCTTCTCCGTCAGGCTTTATTAGTCCTCCTCCCTCCTACCCTCTCCTCTGGCACCGGGTGATCCCGCCCCCCCCCCCCCCCCCCCCTCAACCAGACCCCACCCTGCGGGCCGCCCCCAGCTGCCGCGGACAGCCATCCTTAGGGTGAAGCCAGGGGTGTGCCTTCCCTCCGAGACTGCGGCCCCCTGCTCCGCTCAGGCCCCGCGGGGGAGCCCGGCGCCGCGCACCCCGACGATCGACCTCCCCCTAAAGAAAGGCAAGCGCAGCGCCGCAGCAGTTACCCCAGTCTTGGGCTCCCGGCTTCCGGGTTCGGCCATGGCCCCGCGCAGAGCGCCCCCTCCCCGCGCTCTCAGCTGTACCCCGCTCCCGCCACCAACCTGCGGCCGGCCAAAGGGAGGAGGCTCCGGCACAGCCCACCCCGAGGCCACACGGAACCTCAGCTGCCGGCGCCTTCCACTGGCCAGGGCGTGGGGCGGGGGTGCCCGCGCCGCCCAGCCCCGCTCCGCGCCGCCCCCGCGCCGCCCGGCGCCCCCGGCGCATCCTCGGGGGTCCGAGAGGCGCCACGAGCCCGGGGG